CGAATGCTCTAGTATTTACTAGATAGGGTAGTCTGGTATATATAAGAGGGTGACAACGTGACGGTAATGTGTGTATAGACAGTGAGCAATTGATCTGCAGTCAGAGTATTGTTGACGTTCGTTGATATAGCGTTTGTTTTAGCGCGATTGTTGAAAATAAGTGTATCGGTAAAGTTATATTCGGAAAGAATAAACCAGTTTTATTAAGAAAGCACTTGTGTCGCTTAAGTTTTGTCGGAACGAAGTTACGGAAAGTTAATTAACAAACAGAGACGTAACAGTATGATATGAGAAGCAAAGGTGAATTGATTAAAATGGAAAGCATCGTCATCATCGAAGTTTTGTGAGGTGAGAAGCTTATTAGGTCGTAGACCTAGCCTAGCCTAAATTAACGTTAGGCCTTGTGAGCGTAAAGTGGCTGTAACCTATCGTGTATAAAGTAGCGGTTACTCAGCCTAAGTTTAGCTTAAATTTAAAGTCAAGGTTTAAGGCACTCTTATGGAATCTGACCTTTTATAAATGGGTGTCATATTGTTACAAATTTTACTTAACTTTTGGATGGCATATGATATAGGACCAAGCCTAGTGTAGGCCTTGTCCAGAAAGGACAAACTAAGAACGCGAAGGAAGAAAGAAATTGAATTAGCAAAAGGTGGTGGGGAACTAGGAAGCTTATTAAGAAAATCTAATTATTATCAAAAGGCAGCGCCAATTCAAAATTTTTAGTTTGGATTTAGTTGATCAAAAATGCTAATATTTTAAAGAAGGTTGTTTTGAATTTGTTAATGTAGATCTGTGAAATTTATGCTTTTGCTTGTCAGCATTACTAACATAAAAAGTACGACGTGGGAAAACTATGAGTCATGGGAGAAGATATCGTAAACAAATTGCAAATTATTTAAGGAATAGGCAGTCCACCCTTCGCCCAATCTCCCCCACCCCCTGTACCCTGGTTACTCGTCTAACAAACCCTATGCATTTCATGTGAATCCAACTTTTTGATCAGCATTATGTAACGAATAAATATGAATGAGTACAGGCTGCAATTCCTTGAAATATCAATCGTTCCTGTTTATGATATTTTTACACCTAAAATATTCCGCAAAACTGCGATAAACCTAAACATTGCTATCAATTTAAAACACCACTGCGGCATAACTGTGACAGTTCCCTCATAAATTTTTGGATCCAAAATGGCTTCTAATTGTGTATTGTCGCAACTCTCTGTATAAAAGGCTCTGTTTTGGATTAGACGGGCTGGATGTGACGTTAACTGAATGCACAGCTAACTAATGCTATGAGGGAACAAAAGACATGAGGTGACACTACCAAGTGGACAAAAAAATCGAATTTACACTCTACTGTCGAGCGCACTTTCTTTGTTTGGTGTGGTTCTACTTGGATATCATTGTGACTATTTCAGCAGAGATTCGCCCTGAGAAAAGGAAAGCTGATGATTTATCCACTAATCCAGTATAAACGATCGTTCATTTGTCTACAAAGGTACGCTCACTTTTTTTCTTTTGTTGTTGTGTCTAAATAAATATTGTTTTCAGTATCCTTTAAATGTATTCAATCTGTTTATTTATCATACAACCTAAAATTCAATCAAGTTGTAATCTACAGAGCAGTCTTCTTAATTCTCGATTGAATCAATTGTTAGCAAGGGTTTTCCTGTCTGATACTTCTTGGGAAATCATTTTTATCGGAAAATTCCACAGATGCCATCTACTAAATTATTTATGTAATAACTTTCATGAGATTAATGTTAGGAAATATTAGCTACACTCGTTAAAAGTGAATATATTTTGTTCATAAATCATCATTTTTGACTAGTTAACAATGTCTGAAGGATGGAATAATTATAACTACGTTTCAGTTGAATGCGCTGTCATGTTAAAGCCAGAAATTTAAAGTTTAAATTTTGACATCAGGGAAGCGTGATTCAATGTTTTTTGGTCACCTCACTTTTTGAAACTTAAGTTATAAAATACTTATAGATAACCAATGCAGTTATATGTATAGATATGTGCAGTCTGATTTGATTTATTTACTTTTTTTAAATATAAAACACTATGTATTGAAGGTATTTAGATAAGGATCCATTTTGATAACAAAATAAGATTCACAACCAGGTATTGTTGATAACAGATTAACAATTACGTTTGTTTCGGTAACATACGTGTGAATTTACATGAACCAATCACCCTTGTGTAATTACAAACTCACAAAAGCTTTTCATGAATGTTATGGTTCGACCCCCAAAAAACCTCCAATGGCACACTGCGGACTAATACTGATAGAAACCGGGGTTCGATACCCGTAGTTGGCAGAGCGCAGATAGCCCTTTGTGTAGCTTTGTGCTTAATAGCAAACAACGACCTCCAAGAAAGGGAAACAGCACATTTTTCACTGTAGCTACTGAAGATTCGCAAGACCTTTATATGCAAAAAGTGGCATATGTAAATAATCACGTAGCTGTATTAAAACTGTGAGTAGAATGTTTCTAAGAAGTTTTACAGACAACAATTAATTAAAAAAAAACGACACATGCAAAGATAGAGAGTTGTAACCGTTATGTTACAAACTACGTTTCCAAATTAATTAAAATTAGCAACTTACACCTTATTAAACAATTTAGAAATAACATTGAATCTAAAACACTCTCGGAGCAATGAGACTTTTAAAGCCTAACAAAATTGTTTATCATTAACCACAAAGTTATACAATAGACCACCTGTGGGTATCGAAACCAAATTCCAGAGTTGTAAGCCCTCAGTGCAACGTATGCAACCAAATATTATATACGTACTGAATCGCCCTCAACACAGGATCTCTGCCTCAACAAGAAGCAAAGTAGTGTTTGGAAGGCAGGGTAAAGAACAAGAATTTCCGATAATTGTTTCTTGAAGGTGTTGCATATACCGTTGGAAAGCCCGGAATCTGCTGTACCCAAATATCCAATCTATACGTTTGTAACATATTTCCCTCAAGATTTATGAATAGTCATGGATATAAATGGTTTCGTAGAGGCCACAACACTTCACCAGCAACGATCACACAAACTTATCGATTATCGTTTTGTTTTTATAATTTTTTAAATCAAATTATGCGACCTTTTTTCAATGCGTGTTTAAAGTTGAAGACCAAGTTCTTGATCTTCTGATCTGGCGGAAGATTACTACTACTCTGTTCCTGTAGCACCAAACCTAGTTATGAGTGCAGCAACAGCATCCTTGGTCTTGATAAATGGATTTGCCTTAATTAACAAGATCTGTCAAACAGGCTATCGTGATCGCACCCACAGTGGCTACACAGGTTACAAATCGAATATAACCAAACTTTACACACGTAGATAATAGAGGGAATAATGGTAATTTACGATGACATACCAGAAAAGTAACAAAGTTCCAGTCACGGTTAGCACGGAGTGGAACTACCTGCTGACGATCTATTTGGCTCTAGTCTGAAAAACGTGAAACGACGGCTGTAGATTGCAAATCAGTGTTTGATTTGGAAACTGTAATCGTCATATCTCATGTGTTACAATTATGTTTTCCCCAAATCAAATAAATTTCACCTTTTTTTACATCCAATCTCTTACACAGAAGCTCCGCTAGTTGACAGAGAGATCCTTGTTTATAAATTCTGTATTATTGTATATACTTAAATAAAAAACTTAAATTTTACAATTTCATTACCCTAGCTTGTTAACTGATTCTTCTATTGGTTGTTTAAGCAGAGGAAAATGGATAGGAAACTATTATGGACTGCATCTATGTTCTGTCCATTGAGTTAAATATGAAATTTTGCACCAATAACGAGGTCCGATACTTCTGCTCTAAAAATATCGAAATGTTACCCTTTACTCAATAGACAGATGCATCCCACTAAAGTTTCCAGCCCAGTATTAATCTGGATATCATTTATAAGTTAACTAAAAATTAAGGCTTTAGTAAAGTAACAAAGTTTTGGAAATTTTTTATTATCTACAACATCAACAAAAACTTTTTCCCAGCTCTCATTTTATTTAATACACCCAGTATCACTGGGTGTATTATATGAACACAATGATTATTTTCGAAATTTACCCTGACTAGGAAGTTGTTTAATAAAATACATTTACTTATGTCAATACACCAGTAAAAATATATCATAAGTAAAAATTCACAATAACAAAGCAAGGTTCCTTTTTGAATGATAGATTTTTTTAAATTGGAAATTCTTTCAAAGACAATTTTTTTTTTCATACATCAACTAACAAAATATTATAAAAAATTATCTTTCTATCTCTGTAATATATTTTTCATATTTTAAAAACTTTGGTCTCAAACACAAGATTTTTTTTATCATACCCATAAAAGTGTGTATATTTTTCACTTTCTTTAATAATTATGATATGGATTCACATGCAGTACCAGATTAACCAATTATCTTCATCACCCCAAAAAACTGATCCCCAGCACAAACGTATAATTTTTCCTTTATCAACTATCAGATTCCTAAAAAACATCACCTATGTAAAAAATAAATATAATGAGTCTTGTCAAAACTTCTGCTTGAAATCTATCTCGTGCACAGTGCCTTGTACTAAGCTTGTGTATAATTCTGAAATAAGATATTGTGTTGTTTTTTTTATATAAAATGACAATCACATGAATTATAAAATGTCTACATATTGCTTTATTTTCAAATTCAGTTAAATCTAAAATTTCATTTCAAAGATGTTTTGGTGAAAGTATAAAATGGACAGTGATGCAAGAATATGAACAAAGAACAGTTAGTTTTTCTGGGCCAGGTCAACATATAATACAACCATTATAACATGTATATAATAACACATTTGTTATACATCTGTATGACACTTTTCTAAAACTTTAGTTTCCTTTCTATCAGTATATAACAGATAATATTAATACTGGAAGTTATTAGGTCATTAAAAAAAGAGACAATGATGGAGGAACTAAAATATAATTGTTTGGTTTGTCATGAATTTTATGCAAAGCTATAAGAGGGCTGTCTTCACTAGCCATCTCTAATTTAGCAGTGATAGACTAGAGGGAAGGCACCTAGTCAAGACCATCCACCACCATCTCTCGAGCTACTCTTTTACCAACAACTAGTGGGATTGAATGTCACATTATAATGCCACGGCTGAAAAGGCGAGCACATTCGGTGACAGAGATTCGAATCACTGACCCACAGATTGCAAAAAATTTATTATCTTATTTATAAGTTTAATTAAAATTCATTATAACCTCCCATTTAATATAATTTACTGTACAATAGCAAAAAGGAGTTCTGTCTTAGTTGTTTCAAGTACTAATAAACTACAATATAACTTTTTATACATATAAAATTAACAAAAACTGCAAAACTGTTGGTTACAGTTTTCATGCATTATACCAAAAACAACACGAATTTGTACAAATTGTACAATAATTTATATTTGTGTGATTTTAATTATAAACTTCTAAAATCAAATTAAGGTAGATCAATACAATTAGTCTTTAGCTTCAAGTGAAAAGAAAAACTACATGGCAAGTATTGATATACAAATAACAATAAGACGTGCAAGTTTTCAATTGAAAACTTGTTCTTAATATTTTCAGAGGTAAAATTAAGAATATCAAAAACCTGTAAACTTTCTATATAAAAACAAGTGTATACAGTGGGAAAACAGTCTAATCACTGTCTAACAATTAACAGTTATAATTCATTTCATCAATAACCCTGTAAGTCAGTCTAATTGACAATGCAACAATTCAGCTAAAGAACTAGACAACGATGAAGAAGACAAGCCTGTAACAAGCATCAATTTGGCACAGCATGGTAGGAAGGTGTCTAGGTCATTTTATGGAAGACAGATAAATGCACTTTATATTTAAAATTAGCCTGTTCTTTCTACAAAACAAGTAAAAGTTGTTCTCCCCCAATTCTTTGTTTCTGTGTAAGTAATAACTTATTGTACTATTACTTTATACACAGCCATAATCATCAGTCTACATATAAATATACAATAATATACTCAAGACTGTAAAATCCTCTGTATTTTACATAGAGTCTAAACGTTTTAATGTCTAAATGTCAAAACTTCTTTAGTATTCTTTTTCTTCTTCAAATATCTTCATGGATATAAACATACGCTGATGATATCTGTACAAAATGTAAACAACAGCTTCATATGTTGCCATCATTACAGCAGTGTTTGGAATCTGCCGCACTAACTGGGTAGCTAAGCCCCTGTATAAACCACAGTGTCCTTCCTCTTTGAAAACTAACAGCAGAGTCTGGAAGAAGGATCTATACTTGTTTCCTTCTTGCCTAAGTCGTGTTCTCACTACCTCTGCAAAAACAACACAAAATGGAACAAGTTTGACAATGATACTATAAAGCACAAGTTCTTTGTTAATTCTGTTTTGTAAAATTTGATGACTAGGAAGACAAGAGGTACAAGTTATTCATTCCTGTTGAACTTTTTTGGTACCTCATGAATTTAGACAGGAATTAAAAAGCAGTGAATAGAATGTCTGTTTATCCAGTTTTTACATAAAATTATTTTACGACCTTTTTCACAAGTATAGTGCTATTATTGATATTCTATGTCAATTTATAGTAATTATTTTAAAACTGAACAACAAATTACATGACACCGATATATCAGTTAATTACTGAAGTACATTTCTCAAGTTTTACAAACAAATATTTCATTCAGATAAGAATATAAAAAATTATTTGAAACATTATATCAACTGAATACTTATTTAGTATGAAACAAAAATAGTTTGTCATAAATAGTTTATTATATTACATGACATCAATATATATTTCTGTTACGACATCGGGGTCATGTGACGCTAGTAATACG